CAGCCGCAGGTGGATTTGGAACCGACAGTCGTGGATGAGGTCCGCACAGGCACATATCGCCAGCTTTTCCACCCGGAACAGCTCATTTCCGGAAAGGAAGTTGCTCCGCTTTCCAGTATCATTTTGCCAGAGTTTTTGGGCTGCCATGTTTTGCAAGCGTGTGCTTTGATGTAACGAAGAAAGAAATCACAGAGGATGCAGCAAATAATTTCGCTCGTGGACATTACACCATTGGCAAAGAGATTGTGGACCTGGTCTTGGACCGCATCAGGAAGCTTGCTGACAACTGTAGCCTGCTTGCAAGATCATCGTTGTGCGCACTTTTTTTTTTTTTTGTGTGTGTGTGTGTGTGTGTTTCGTGTTCTGCTGATCCGAATCTTTTTTTCGACGATTCTGTCACCGAGGCACAGGACTGCAAGGATTCTGCGTCTACAACGCATGCGGCGGCGGAACAGGATCCGGTCTTGGCTGCCTCATGCTTGAGAGGCCGTCTGGGTCGCGCCAAACGGCTTTGTTTCCAGTTTTTGAAATTTAGGGCCTAAGCGAACAGTTTTGGAAGAGCTTGTCAGCTTGCAAGGCTGTCCGTGGATTATGGCAAGAAGAGCAAGATTTCCTTCACCGTGTGGTGCTGCCCTCAGGTGGCCACTGCAGTGGTCGAGCCCTACAACACAGTCTTGTGCGTCCACTCACTCCTGGAGCACACCGATGTGACCATCATGCACCTCGAAAGATCTTTGCAACGCCATTTATTCGTGTTCGGTTTTTGTAACCCCAAGCTACGACGATGCACGGCCCAGCCGAGGTACGACAACGAGGCTTTGTATGATATTTGCCGCAGGAAGCTGGCTTCATGCTTGATGGGTCGGATAGGTTGTGTTCCATTGTTTTGCAACCTCGTTGGTTTAGGCGCCTCACACACAATCACACTCTCGACTTGCCGCATGCTCTAGGAACCTGGACATCGAGCGACCCACGTACACCAACCTGAACCGCCTCATCGCTCAGATCATTTCAAGCTTGACCGCCTCGCTGCGCTTCGATGG